CCCATCTCATGGCGGGTCGTCCACGCCTGGGCCTACGCCCGCGCCCACGCCCACGCCTGGCGGTGATGTTTTAGTGATGTTGCTAGGAGGTTGATAAACCTCCTACCCTGACATGTCGATTAGGGAATTGGCCGTCTTCGGTTCCCGAGAGGGCGTCGCGGAGGTCATTTTTGCGGGTCCAGGTCCGTCGGCTTCGGTCCCAGGCCGTTTTCTCTGAGGGGAGGTCTGCTAAAGGGAGGCCTGTCCACCGCCGAATGCTGCATTCTCTTCGCAGCGTTAGATCCGAGGGGCAGTCGGACCCTCCACGGACGCCCTCGATCCTCGAGGCCCCTCCGTCCGCGCTCCTCCTCGAGGCCAGCGGAGGGGCCGGCACGCCACCCCGCACCCCGCCCCTCGTGGGCGAGGGGGGGGGGGGGAGTCGGAGGTCGATAGACCTCCTACCCGGACACGTCGATTGGCGAATTGGCCGTTGTCGGTTCGCGAGAGGGCATCGCGGCCCTCACTCACAGGCCGTTTTCAGTAAAGGGTGGTTTACTAAAGGGAGGACTGTCCACCGCCGAGGGAAGGGAGGGGAGGTGCTGTGGGGTCCCAATGAACAGAGGTTCCGTGGGGTGGGGGTGCCCGAGGCCAGGAGGGGGGCGTCGGTGGGTTCCGGGCGAGAAGTTGTGGGGCGGGGGGGGTCCCAAGGACAGAGGTTCCGTGGGGTGGGGGTGCCGAGGCCAGGAGGGGGGCGTCGATGGGTTCTGGGGGGAAGTCAGAGGCGCATGGGAATACGGTAGCTTAGGCCTCCTAGATGGGGTTCGAGTAGGGGGTCGGAGGATCGCGCCGCATCGCCGATGCATCGGTTATGCATCGGCGATGTGGCTTGATGTGGAGCCCGTTTTTCTCTACGTCGACGTCGCCGATGCATCGCCGACGTCGCCGATGCATCGCCGATGCATCGCCAATGCATCGATGATGCATCGCCGATGCATCGGCGACCCCCCGACCCCATCTACTCCGACCCCATCTAGGAGGCCGCTAGGTAGGTTCGCGTGGTCTCGACCGGCGGCGACCCCGCCGCCCGCGTTCAACGTTGAGCGCCGCTGGAGACCCAGAATCGGCCGATGTTGAACGATCTGACGTTTCGGTTCACGGCCGATCGTTCAAGGTCGAACGTTCCCCGCGGTGTCAGAAACCGACGCGCAAGTCGGCACGACACGAGCTTGCCGTAGGCCTCCCAGGTTGTGTCCGAGCAGATGGGGTCGGAGGATCGCGCCGCATCGCCGATGCATCGTCGATGCGGCTCGATGTGGAGAGAGATTTTCTCCACGCTGGAGTCGCCGATGCATCGCCGACGTCGCCGATGCATCGCCGATGCATCGGCGATGCATCGGCGATGCGGCGCGATCTTCTGACCCCATTTACTCCGACCCCATCTGGGAGGCCTCTAATGGGGGGGAGGAATGGGCGGGGCTCGAAAGACAAACAAGAGCATAAACATAAACGTTTGACGGTCCCCGCGGAGTTCTTGGATCGGCGTTGGGCCTCCCTGGCGGCGCCTCAGGCGCCGCCCCTGGCGCGCTCCGCCCGCCATCGAGGGGGTCTAATGTAGATCCAAGATATCTGCGCGAACCGTTAAAAGTTTATGTGTATGCACTTTTGTCTGGCGCCTCTAAGAATACCTCGAGTCAGAAAAGGGAGGGGGGTCCCAATGCAGATCCAAGAAGTCTGCCCAGACCGTCAAAAGTTGATGTATCTGCCTTTTTGGGGGGCTGCCTCTAAGGATACCTCGATTTATAGTTGCTCAGGATGTCGCTCGCGCAGCTGGCGCGCAGCAGGCTCTAAGGCGGGCCTGTCCCTCTACAGGAGGAATATCCCCAAATAGTCAAAACAATAGTCTGTTTTTTTTGGGGGGGGATACGTTTTGAACATTTGTTTGACTATTTTCGATGTTTCGTCCACACTCCCCCTGGAGGGGGACACGCCCGACCTAAAAAACTAGTTGCTCAGGACGTCGCGCGGCTGGCTCAGGATCCCACCGCGCTTCGAAGGGCGCGACGCGCGGAGTCCTATTCCCGGTTCTGAGGCGTCGGCGTCCTGAGCTCCTCCCCGCCTCCCCCTCCTCCTCCTCCCCCTCCTACTCCTCCTCCGCCTCCTCCTCCTCCTCCGCCTCCTCCTCTCCTCCTCCTCCTCCTCCCTCCTCCTCCTCCCTCCTCCTCCCCTCTCCTCCTCCTCCCCTCCTCCTCCCCCTCCTCCTCCTCCTCCTCCTCCTCCTCCTCCTCCTCCTCCTCTTCCTCCTCCTCCTCCTCCTCCTCCCCCTCCTCCTCCTCTTCCTCCTCCTCCTCGGCCTCCCGCCCCGCGGAGCGGAGCTGCTTTTGTCAGCGGCAAGGCGGCGAATTCCCCACCAGCGCAACAGCTAGGTATAGGGACAGCCGGCGGGCGGCAGCAGCCGGCGGGCAGCAGCAGCCAGGCGCGCGGTGGGCGACCGTGGCGAACCACGGGGGCAAGGTTGGCGTGGAGTGGCAGCCAGCCCGGGGCTGTGGGAGCACACGCTATCCGCTCGCTGGCGTTAAGTTGGGCCTGCCCCTCTGCAGGAGGAGTAGTCAAAACTAGTCAGAAAAGTCTCTGGGGCCGATTTCTCGAGGATTTGTTTGACTATTCTGGGCTTTGTTGGAGTATCGTGCAGCTTTCCATCCAAATGTGCCTGTAAGGGGGACATGCCCGACCTCACGCTAGCGTGTCGCCGGGACAGCCGCCGCGACGCGCTACGCCATGACGGAGAGGTGTCCCGAGGGAAACGGGCTTTGGAAGGTGTTGGCCGTTGGGGCGGCCCTGCTGAGTGTCTTTCGTCCTTTCTTGGGCCTTCTCTGGAGAGGCTTCTCGTCGCCAGGGCCGGGTCGACCTCGGGAAACGGGTCGGGACGGGTTTGGGCCGGGCGGGGCTCGGGCCCCTGGGCCGCGACCACACGAGGCGTGCAAAAGAGGGTCTTGCCTTCGAGGATCGGAGGAGTTGCCCTCTCTTCCTCGGCGGAAGGTCGACGGAAGTAAAACTAGGCCGCCTCCGCTGGCGGAAGCCAGCGGAAGCTCGGCGGAAGCCGGCGGAAGTGAAAGGTGTTTGCCCAATAGTTGAAAACGTGTTTGGGTTCTGGATTTCCGAAATCGCCCACACGGACACGGTGTTCTCGCGTGCACGAGACGTTCTCAGCTTGCATGGCCAGAAGTATGCGATTCCGCAACCGTGCCACAATGGAGGGCCGGTCCTTCTCACAGCGGGGCTCTCGTCATCATTTCCTGCAGCCGTATGGGCTTGACCTTGCCGCCTTTCTTATGTACTTCGCACGCATCAAAGCAAGAAGTGGAGCGCACCCCTGCTCGAGAAGGGGCTCTCGTCTGAATGGCAGGACCACGCGTCTTTTGAGGAGGCACCTCCTGCAGCAAGAAGGACTGTCTGTAGGGATGAGTGAGCAGGGGGCTTGGGACGACAGGGTGTATTGCAGCACCGCTGGTGCACCCTGTGCTTACTCAGGTCCTTCTTCACCTTCTCTTCCGAGGAGGAGGAGGAGGAGGAGGACGAGGAGGAGGAGAAGGAGGAGGAGGAGGAGGGAGGCTGAGGAGGAGGAGGACGAGAACAAGAAGGAGGACGGTGATGAGCTGCAGGAGGAGAAAGGTGAGGAGGGCGGGGGGGGGGCGAGCAGGTTTAGGAGGGCGCTTACCGACGACGACGTCCATGACGAAGCTAATCAGGGGAAGGAGGCTGGCATTTTCTTTCCCCCTCCTCCCTCCTCCCTCCTCCTCGGGCGCCCCTCCCTTTGCGAGGTGGCTTGCAGTACCAGGCTACCACGACGGCTCCAGGGTAAGCCGAGCGCTTCAGAGTGAAGTTCAAGTCACACCCTATTCCCTGAATAAGGGCCTGACCACGTCCTCTCCAGTTGACATGTGGAGGCTAGCAAGATCAATAGTCCTGTTTAGGCGTATCAACGTGAACAAATATTGGAAAAAACCAGCGCTTACAGGACACCACTATTACCAGGATCATCGTATCGTTTTCAAGGATCACTTCGTAGTTTCACATGCGCCTTACCGCGACAGTCATTTGCAGTGGTTCGCTCCCATCTCCCACCTTGGGCCGCTCGATAGGTTTAGGTCAGGGAACCAGTTCGTGGCCGAGGCTCGCCGTGGCCAGAAACAGCCTCGTCGCGTCATTCTTTGGCGCTCGCTCTTCTGCACTATTGACGTACCCCCCTTCTTCTGCACAAGATGATGACGACATCAGCAGCTCGAGAGACAGCAATGCTGAGCATAGCATTGAAGCAGCGTCCATCTGCCTGCGGCAAGTTCCGCAACCGTGCCAGCGCAGCACTCCGTATGGCGCTGCTTGGAGCGCCGACGCTTGCGATGATTGTTATCTGGCACCGCCAGTACAGCCAAGACGCTGGAACTGGGGGCGGCAAAGTGGAGGGTGATGATTAGGGAGGGGGGATATCTTGGCGTGGGTCATGACATTTCTCCTGAGTTCGTGGCGCCTCTTCTTGTTTCATTACGTCCCTGGCCCCCCCTTGGGCCGAGCACATGCCGCCGGCCATGATTTGCACCCTACCCCCTTGGACGCCCCCCTCTTGGCCGCCCCCGATGGAAGGGGGCTCGTGTGTCCTGGCCGCTCCCTCGCCCTGGGTCGTGGAGCCCGTGCGTCGCCGAAGCCCGTCGTGGCCAGCAAGGCCCGCTCCGTTCTCTCTTCAGCGTCGATGACGATCCTCCTCCTCCTCCTCCTCCTCCTCCTCCTCCACCTCCTCTCTTTCCTCCTCCTCCTCCTCCTCCTCCTCCTCCTTCTCCTCCTCCTCCTCCTCCTCCTCCTCCTCTCTCCTCCTCCTCCTCCTCCTCCTCCTCCTCCTCCTCTCCTCCTCCTCCTCCTCCTCCTCCTCCTCCTCCTCCTCCTCCTCCTCCTCCTCCTCCTCCTCCTCCTCCTCCTCCTCCTCCCCCCTCCCTCCCCCCCGACGACGGTACGGTCCGACCCTCCTGCAGGCGGCGGACATCCAGGCCCCGGGCATCCGCACCACCGTGGCCGAGCTGCGCGGACGCGGCGCCGCCGCCCCGAGGACGGCCTGGGCCGTCGCATCTCCTGCGGGCAAGATGTGTATACATATCCACTGCGTCGTGGATGTTCTGGGAAGGGGTGCCACAATGCCGAGGCGCAGTGGATATGGACAAAGACCTAGCCCCTAGGGGCCATTCTTTTTTTGTCCATATCCATTGCGCCTCTGGCTTCTGGGGGTTGGAGCTCGGGACTCCAAGAAGCAGTGGATATGGACACGAGTCTTGCCCGCATCCTCCTCCACGCAACCCCTCCTCCTGCTCCGACTCGGGGAATCATCCTCTCACCTCCCCTCCATCCTTCCCCCCTCGGCCTCCCCCTCTCCCTTCTTCCCATGTCCCCAGACCCCCTTCTGCTCATGAGGAAAGCACGACGAGAGGTGTTCCGCTATTTTCGGCTTCTGGGGACCCTCACCGGGCCTGGGCACCGTCAAAAAACGGTTCAGGATGAAAACATCGGCCCTGCGGAAAGGGTCGTGTCATCGATTTTCGCGACGACCTCTTCCATCAGCGAGCTATGGAAGTTACCGGTCCATTTGTTTTATGTCACGTACGAACGATATCGCCGGAGGGGGGGGGGCCTCAGAAAACGTGTATTCATTAAATGTTTGGTGCGGGCGATGTCGCCGGGGAGGGGGGCGCCGTGGGTTTCCTAAGGTTGTACTTGCAGCACAGCGGCGCAACCACAGGTAGCGATGCCACCCAGCAGTATGCTCACGTAGTGCTGATGACGCCGGCATGCACCATGGTTTGACGCGCGCGGTCATACCTTCCATCGTGGGCGACACGCGACATCCGCACATGTAGCCAAAGAGTAGCGTAACCACGCAGCAGCAGCAGCAGGGTAGCGCAGTGCCGCGACGTGACCGCATCACGCTATGGATCCCTGCCTCCTTTTGTTGCGCTTGGCCGTGCGACGCTGGGCAGAACGTCGCCGAACGGCCATGCGACGCTCGGCGCAGCGCGGCGCCCTTGCACGAAGGCATCGCCCACCGAGGCGCGTTTCCAGGGCTCATTTCGATTCCTCCGATTCTATTCGATTCGACTTCGATGGCTTCCGATTCCGATGCGATTCGACTTGGGGTTCCGATTTGGATTCCCATCCTCAATGGAGGCCTGCCATGTTGCCGATTTCCGCCGACTCGACTTCTCCTGACTCGGCTGCCGACTTCCGCCGATCCGATTCGTTTCGATCGCCGATCCGACTTATCGATTCGAGTCTGAGCTCTCCTGCGTTTCCGTCGCGCCCGCACTCCGACGCTCCTGTCTTTGAGGAACCATCTGTCGCCCAGAGACACGGGCCTCCGCGCGCTGCGAAAAAAAACACACGACAGGAAGTGTCTCGCTACTTTCGGCCTCCGGGGGCCCTCGCCGGGCCTCGGGAGCGTCAACAAACGCCTCGGCACAAAAAAACGGTCCACGGGAAGGGGCCCAGATTTCTGAGAGCCACGCCATGAGAAAAGGCACGACGCCGGGGGTTTGGGGGGAAGAGGCGCGTCTCGGGGAGCGGCCGCAGAGAGTGCCGGGAAGGCCCCAGCTCTCGCAGAGCGGCCTCTGGCAGAGCTCTGCGGCAGCCGAGGGGGCCGTCGCTGTGTCCGGGAGCTGCGGGGAGGGGGAGGGGGCCGTTGCCGACCGCCGCCGTGAAGGCCACGTCTCCTGGACGCGGCGGCCGCGGCCACAAGACAGCTGCGACAGCGGCGATGCCGAGGGTGACGAGCGCGCCCTCGGGCGAAGAATCGATCGCCGAGTGAGGAGGTTCGGTAGCATCCGCGCGCTCATCCGAGCGCACCGAGCTCCGTGGGCTTTCCAGCTCCGCGCGCCCATCCGACTGTTCTGTGGGCTTTGCAGCTTCTGGGAACATGGTATAGCATCCGCGCGCCCATTGGAGCGCTCCGCGGGCGACCTTCAGCCTAGCGGGGAGGAGGTGGGGAAGAGGAGCAGGTGCCAACGACAGGTAGGGTGACGACGAGGAGACAGGGGGAACAACAACATGGACAGCGAGCGTAGCTCTGAGACCTCACTCTCGCCTTTATGCTTCTGGCCAGGCATGGTCGCACGTGCCAGCTCATGTGACTCATGTGCTGGCCACACGGATCGTTTAGCTCATATTGGGCGTTCGTAGGACTCTGTGGTGAATTGATTCTTAGGCTTACGCCACACCGCCGACCCCTTTGTTTTTGGGGGTCGTGGACCTCCAAAAGGAGCACGGGAAGGGCCGGACCCCCCTGACGAGCTCGGGCCGGACCCCCCCCCCTCCCCTCCAAATCGACCGGACCGGGCTCCAGGGGGAGGGGTTTGGGGAAGGGGAAGCATCTTACACGCCGATGATCCCCAAGGGGTCGGCGGATTGGAACTGCCATGCCGCAGTTTCTATAGCCAGGAACGCGCAGGGCAGGTAAAGCCCTTCCTTGCGCAGGCCCTCGCCCGCATGTGCGGGCCCGCGGGGCGCTCGTCGTTTTGAGGTGGGCGCTCGGGGCGGGAAGAGGGAGGGGGGGCAGCATCGCCGACGCATCCTGCGCTTGCTCTTGCAAACCCCCTCCTCCTCCTGCTCCTCGTTTTCCTCCTCCTTCTTTCGGCGGCGGGCGAGGGGGGGAAGTGAGAAGGAGAAGGCCTTCTCAGAAGGCTCGGAAGTCCCCCAGCCTTCCCAGAAGTTTCCTGAGCCTTTTTACCGAAGACACAAAAATCTTCTCAGAAGGCGCGAGGGCTTCTGAGAAGTCCCGCCGCCTTCCGAGAAGGCCTTCTCCTTCTCACTTCCCCCCCTCCTCGCCGATTCTTGATTCATATCAGAAGCCTTCAGAAACGCACGGGGCGTTTTTCTTTGCGTTCTACATGATGGGTTCTTGACGTGCTGAAGGCGCTAGAATCCGTTGCGTGTTTTTCTGTTATGTGTTGAGGGTTGTTGTTTGTTGGCGTTTTCAGGCCCGTCGCTGTGGAGTGTCGCTTTAGATAGCGGTTGTTTGGCTTCTTGCCGAAGGCTGCTTTTTGCCGTCCCTGCCGTATTCGTTCTCGCTCTCCCATGCTCGTCGTGACATCTATACATTGGGCGGGGATTGAAGATGGCTCCCGCGCGCAAAATTGAAAACGGCAGAAACAATATTTGACACTGGTGTAGCACCAGACCGAAACAGGCTTGGGAGCCCACGGCCCTCCGGCAGCGGGTTCCTCTCGATGGAAGCAGTTTGATCTGAAAACGCTGAAAAAAACATGTTTGTTGTTCCCCGTTTTCTGCTGCGACTTGAAAGCGCTAAACATTGATTCCCAACACGCCGGGCGCATCAACCAAAACGCCCAGGGCAGATACGCCCAGGGCAGATTTAACAGATGAACGAAGTCCTCCCCCGCCTCGCCCCCCCTCTTCGTCCTCTTTTGTCCACCCGCCTCCCCCGCTCTCCCCCCTCCGTGTCCTCATCCCCCCCTTCCTCCTCATCCTCCCCCTCCCTGTTTTTCCTCACCCGCTTCCTTCCTCCTCCTCCTCCTCCTCCTCCTCCTCCTCCTCCTCCTCCTCCTCCTCCTCCTCCTCCTCCTCCTCCCCCCCATTCGGGCAGCCGCCCTCGCTTCGACGGCGGCGGCGACGGGGGCGGCACCGAAGGGATCCCTGACCGATCGCAGGAGGGCGCCTGGCGTCCAGCTCTGCCCCGCGCAGCCCCGGTGCCAGGCGGGCGGGGGCCGCGCTCGTGGGAGGACGTGTGCCCAGACCTCCGGAAGCTGTGACAAGAATCACGGCGGGAAGCTTTTCGCTGTTTTCGGCCTCTGGGGGCCTCTATTTGGGGCCTCGGGACCGTCAACAAAACGATTCAGGGTAAAAAACCGGTCCCCGAGAAGGGGCCCAGGCTGCTGGAGGTCACGCCACGAAACATTCACGACGTCGGGGGTCTGGGTAATGGGGGAACGGTGAGTGGTGGGACAGCGAGGGCCGCATAAAAAAGGCACCCTGTAGGGCCCCTGAAAGGGCCTCTTTAATCGACTAGACGTAAGAGTGACCTTTCGCCGGAGTGACCTTCGGCGCGGGCACAGGCGGGTCCCCCGATGGCTGTATGCGAGGCGGTAGCAGCGGCTTGCGCCCCCAGGTTTGGCCACCCCGCGTCCCCCATGAAGCCTCGCATCAAAGGTCACTCTTGCCTGGTGCCACTCTTGCGTGTAGCCGATGATAAGGCCCAAAAGGAACCCTTTAGGGCCCGCAGAGGGCATCTGTCTTCCCCCCGATTTATCGCCCCCACGCAATTCGCGCCCAGGCTCGTTGTCGTTGTCGCTGCTCGCCATGCAGTGAGGGGGGGTTGCCCCGAGGGGGGATATCCTTGGGGTGGCGGTGGATCTCATGGCCGGGGCCACGATGCCTTTTTCTGAATTCCGTGACCCTTCTCTTCTTGCAGCACGTCTTTCGGCCCACTCATTGTGAAGATGTTGCAGGCCATGCCCGTGGCGACGCCCGCATCTCTCTACCTCTAACCTCTGAGCTGCCCTCAATGCGCACGCGTCTCTAGGGGGCATCCCGACTCCTAGTGCGGGCTCTGTCCCCCAAAGGATGGGCACATGTAGATGGGTTTTCAGGCACACTCTCTTTTCCACACTCATGGCCCGCGCACGCGCTTCGGGCCATGATGCGGATCACCTCCCCTTGGACGCTCCCTCTTGTCTCTTTTCCACACTCATGGCCCGCGCACGCGCTTCGGGCCATGATGCGGATCACCTCCCCTTGGACGCTCCCTCTTGGACGTCCCCGATCGTCTTCGTCGTCCATCTTCGCCACGCAGCAAGCGGGCCCCGAGAAATCGGGTCCCTGTGGGGAGGTTGTTCGCCACGTGGTCGGGCCCGTCACCCCAGGGCCGTCAAAGAGCCACTTTAGTTACAAGTCGGGCATGCCTTTCCACAGGAGGAATATTCAAAGCAGACAAAAAATGGTGCGAGTGTTGGACGATCTGTGATCTGGTCTAATAGATGTCTGATTGTTGATAATCCGCCTGTAGGAGGACATGCCCGACAGAATTCGTAGATAAACAGAGCATTCGGGAGCCATGGATTGTAGAACCCGTGTTCCTCAACACTTGCCTCGTTCGTGACACATGTCATCGCGTATCCATCGTCGTCGTCGTCCTGATGCCAGGCAGGCAGGGGCCGCCGTCGTCGTCTTCATCCTCGTGGCTCGAGAGGTGTCGTCGCCGCCTTCGATGTCGTCGCTGGCGTCGCGTTTGTCGACGCGTTTCTCGACGTCGCCATCACCACCATCATCATCGTCATCACAAGGGACCTGCGGGGCGCTTGCTCGGCGTCCATGAGGAGCTGAGACTGGGGAAGGCGCGTCGTCATCGCCATCGCCCTGCCATATCCTGCCCATTCTGCTGCTGCCCGCCCTGCCTTCTGACGGTCGGACCGAGGTAATTATAGGATCGTGGCCGGCTCGGGGAGGGTACCCTAGTCTTTTTCGTGTTCGTTGGATGTTCTTGTGCATCCTGGGGGAGGGTACCCTTAAATGTTATTCAGTTTTCAGGCGGTCGCGAACATGGATCAAGGGGGCGTGGATTAGCGACGGGTCCCGCTTCCATGGGAAATCGAGGATTTCCGCCGCCGAGCGAGGCAGCATTGGCCTCGCTTTGGAGAGGGCACCTCCCCGATCCATGGATTTGGTGACCGCGCGCCAAATCCGTGGATCGCCTATCCATGTTTGCGCGCCCCCGAAGTTTGGCCAGCGGAGGGTGTCACGGTTTTGAAAGATGTTCTTCTGTCCTACGACCCGGCCGTTCTTCCCCGTCAGCACGCTCGCCCTCATCCTCCGCCACCCCTTTTCCTCCGCCTTTTCTTTCCCATGCCATGATCTCCAGGAGGGGAACAAAACACACAGACACAATTAATCGTCGATACCCCGGAAAATATGGGGAAAATATTGGAAGTGGGGGGGAAGGCGGAAGTCTAGAAAATATTTAAAGAAATTGAGTATTGGTATTTGTGTCTATTTATTTGTGTGTCCCAGGGCCCCTTCATCCTGCTCGTTCTCTGCCCCGTCCTCGCCAACATGATCCTCCTCCCGACATTGTTTCTCTCTCGTGCCTCTTCCTCCCTTCTCCATCCTCCCTCCATTCCTCCTTGCTTCTGATCCCTCGTGGTTCTCCCTCTACCTCTTGCGCCCTCATCCATGCGTCATCCTTCCCTCCTCCATCCTCCATCCTCCATCGTCCTGCCCTTCTGCTCCCCCCTCCTCTTCCTCCTCTCCACACTTGTCAGTCCCTCTCCTTGCTTTGTTTCCCGTCACTCTCCTAGTCGTCGTTCGGTCGTCCCCCATCTCTCTCGTCATCACCGGGTCCCCCTAATCCACCCCCTCCTCATCCTCGATTATCTTCAATACTTCATATCTCCACCTCTTTTCTCCTATCGCCTGCTTGTCATCATCCTCTTTATCTCGCCTTTCACTTCTCTACCTCCTCCATTATCAGTCCTCTTTCCTTTCTCCTCTTTCTTGTCGTCTCCCATGCTTCCCCTCCTCATCCTCCTCATCCATCGTCCATTGTCATCCTTATCATCCCAGTCCCAACGTCCCACCTGAGTCAGCACAGTCGTCTTCACACTCCTGTCCGTTATTCCTCTTTCAGCCTGCGCGCCGCACCCATGGGCCTGTCCCAACGTCCCACCTGAGTCAGCACAGTCGTCTTCACACTCCTGTCCGTTATTCCTCTTTCAGCCTGCGCGCCGCACCCATGGGTGAGTCGTTGGCATCTTCGTTGACGCTCTGGCCACGCATCCCTGCAATCCAACACTCCTCCTCGTCCGTGCCTTCACCGTCATCCTCACCCTCATGGTCCACCCTTTGAGCCTCCGGAGGCCTTGCCTCTGGATGTAGGAGGCGGCGGAGCCAGGGGTCGAGGGAGGAGGAGGAGGAGGAGGAGGAGGAGGAGGAGGAGGAGGAGGAGGAGGAGGAGGGGAGGAGGACGAGAGGAGGAGGGGGAGGGGGGGGGGAGGAGGAGGAGGAGGAGGAGGAGGGAGGAGGAGGAGGGAGGAGGAGGGAGGAGGAGGAGGAAGAGGAGGAGGAGGAGGAGGACGACGACGACGAGGAGGAGGCGGAGGAGGAGGCGGACGAGCAGGAGGAGGAGGCGACGGGCGAGGAGCTCCAGAGGCCCTCCGAAGGCCCCTCCGAGGGCGGCGGCGGCGGCGAGCAGGTGGCCGCCGCCCGGGGCAGCCTCGCGGCGGCCCGCAGGCCGTGCGGGGGCCCCGCGGGCGGCCGCGGCGGGGCCACGCGCGAGGGCCCGGAGGACCAGGCCAGGCCGCGGGGCGCGCGTCCAGTCACGTTGGAATCCTCTAGGCCTCCTAGACGGGGCCGGAGTAGATGGGGTCGGAGGATGGCTCCGCCTCGCCGATGCAGCCGCCGATGCATCCGCCGATGCGGCTCGACGTGGAGCCGATCTGCTTCATGCCGACGTCGCCGATGCATCGCCCGCGTCGACGAGGCCTCGCTGGTGCATCGCCGATGCATCGCCGATGTATCGGCGGTGCGGCGCGATCCTCCGACCCCATCTACTCCGACCCCATCTAGGAGGCCTCTAGAATCGGGGGTTGATAGACCTCCTACCCTGACACGTCGATTAGCGAATTGGCAGTTTGCGGTTCGCGAGAGGGCGTCGCGGCCGTCATTTTTGCGGGTCCAGGTCCGTCGGTTTCGCTAGGGTTATTGTCGGGTATGTCCCCCTACAGGTGGATTTTGGGTGAAAACTAAAAATATTCAAAAAGTACCCCCCAGATGGGCAAGAATAGTCAAAGCATCGTCCCCAGATTATGTTTGTACTATTTTCGAATATTCCTCCTGTGGAGGGACAGGCCCGACTTAACGCTAGGGACTGGCTTCCCCCCCTAGCGATCAAGAGCCCTCCAAAACCCTCCCGAAACTAACTCTCCGAAACGCCTCGTGATCGTCTGTTTATGCATTGTTTTGCCGACTGGCGCGGGCCCTCGCACCCCCCCTCCCCCCCCTCCGTGTAGTAGATCTTGGTTGTTTTGTTGACACCTGTTTCGAGCGGGTGGAGTCTCCCCCAGAGGACGCACGGTTCCAACCAGTCGCTCTAAGCAGAGGTCCGCCAGACCCCCCCCCCTCCCCGCCTTCCGCCCAATGCCGAAACGCCGAATAAAAAAAGCTCACCTCCCAGAACCCTTCCAGGAGGGTGCTCGGAGGGGTTCGGGAGGGTTTCGGCCGTTTGGAAGGAAACCGGTGTCTAGTTTCTAACAGTGATGTTAAGTCGGGCGTGTCCCTCTACAGGAGGAATATTCAGAAATAGACAAATGACAAATAATAATCCAGGGACTATTTGATGTTAGTAGTTTCGAGCATGTTTGGAATATTGTTCGCCTTTTTCATTTTTCGTCCAAGATCCGCCTGCAGGGGGACATGCCCGACCTAATAATAACGGGGGGGCGGTACAGTGCCCAGGCCTCTTCGCGCTGTGGAAGAAATAGCACGACGGCAGGTTTTTCGCCATCTTTGGCCTCTGGGGGCCCTTACCGGGCCTCGGGACCGTCAAAAAACGAGGCAGGATGAAAAGCCGGTCCCCGAGGAGGGGTCCAGGCTCTTGGAGGTCACGCCACGAAATTATTCCGACGTTCTGACCCCACATGATAATCTGTTTAGCTTACCTGGGGATCTCGTCCTGCCCCCTCCCTTCTCCCACCTACTCCTGACTCATCCTTCTCCTCCTGCCTGCTCCTCCTCCTGCCTCAACCCCTGCCTCCTCCTCCGCTTTCCCCCTCCACCGCCTCCTCCTCCTCCTCCTCCTTTTCCTCCTCCTCCTCCTCCTCCTCCTCCTCCGCCTCCTCGTTATGCCTCCTCCCCCGATTCCCCCTGTCCCTCTTGCCTCCTGCGTCCTCCTCCTCCTGCTTTCCCTCGCCCTCCTCCTCTTCCTCCTCCCCTCTCCCGCCTCCTCCTCTCCCTCTCCCTCCTCCGTCTACTCCTCCTCGTCTCCATCTTCCTCCCCCTCCTCGCCCTCCTCCTGCTCCTCCTGCCTTCTCCTTAGGTATCCTGCCTCCTCCTGGGGCCTCCTGGAGCCTTCTGGGCCTCCCGGGACATCCTGGGGCCTCCTAACGCACTCCTCTTCCTCCTTGTCCTCCTCGACCTTCTCGCCCTCTGCCTCCTCCCCCTTTTTCTCCTCCTCTTTCTCGTCCTGCATCCTCCTTTCTCCTTCGTCCTTCTCCTCCTCCTCATCCTCCTGCTCCTCCTCGTGCGGAACACGACCCAGAGGAAGCGCACGATGTGCGTCCCAAGATACTCTCGCCGGAGGACGACTCAGAGGAAGCGCGCGCTGGAGGACGACCCGGAGAAAGCACGGGAGGCGCGGGCCCCATACGGAGGGAGCCCCCGCTTGAGTTTTCTTAGCAATTCACTCATAGACGAGCCTCCCGCCTGATATTTCCTCATATTCTGGCTTCGGGAGCCCCAAAGTGATGACAGTTACAAGTTCGAGGAAGACCCGCCCGGATGAGAAACATGAAGCGCAGGCCCCATAGGGAGGGGGTTCCCGCTTGAGATGTCCTCATAGTTCTCTCACGCACGAGGCTTCCGTCTGACATTTCCACGATATTCAGGCCTCGGAAGCCCCAAAGGGACGACAGTTACGCGGATGAGGATGACCCCCTCTGATAAAAAAAGACGGAATGCTGGCCCCATGGGGAGTGGGGTTCCTGCCTGAGGCTTCCTCGCAGTTCGCTCACAGACGAGGCTTCCGCCGGATACTTCCTCCATACTCAGGCCTCAGGAGCCCAAAAGTGACGACATTTACACGGATGAGGACGACCCGCTCGGATAAAAAACACGAAGTGTGGGCCCCATATGGAGGGGATTCCCGCTTGAGACTTCCTCACGGTTCACTCACAGACCAGCTCCCCGATTGATACTTCCACCATATTCAGGCTTCAGGGGCCCAAAAGTGACGATTGTTATACGGATGAGGATAACCCGCTCGGATAAAATATGAAAAATGCTGGCCCCATACGGAGGGGGCTCCCGCTTAAGACTTCCTCACAGTTCGCTCACAGAAGAGGCCCCCCGCCTGATACTTCCCCCATATTCAGGCCTCAGGATACCAAAATTAACGACTGTTACACGAAAGAGAATGACCCGCTCGGATTAAAAACATGAAGTGCGGACCCCAGAGGGAGGGTGGGGGCTCCCGCTTGAGACTTCGTTCACTCACAGACGAGGCTCCCCGCTTGATATGTCCTTTATATTCCGACATCAGGAGCCCAAAAGTGACGACAGTTATACGGACGAGGGTGACCCGCCCAAATCTTTAAATCCATTACGCCACAAATGGAAAGCGGGCCCCACACGGAAGGGGCTCCCCCCTGAAATTACCTTACAGTTCACTCACAGACGAGGCTCCCGATTGAAATCCCCTTCATACTCAGGCCCCAGGAGCCCAAAAGTGACGACTGTTACACGGATGAGGATGACCCGTTCGGATTAAAAACGTGAAGTGCGGGCCCCATATGGAGGGGGGCGGCCGCCCGAGACTTCTTCACAGTTCACTCACAGACGAGGCTTCCGCCTGATACTTCCCCCATATTCAGGCTTCAGGAGCCCAACAGTGACGACAGTTAGTTACACGGATGAGGGCGACCCGCTCGGACTCAAAACATGAAGTGCGGGCCCCATAACGAGGGGGCTCCCGCTTGCGATCCAGAGAAAATGATGTCGAGCGATGAGAGAGAAAGAGAGAGTCTGTGTGTGTGCGATGTGCGACTGAGTGTGATGATGATGATGATGACGATGATGATGATGATGGCGGTGTTGGTGATGCTGATCATGGTGACGATCGAAGGCCGATGGTGTTGATGATCGATGGTGAGCGACCGAGTATGATGATGGTGGTGGTGATGATGGGGGCCGATGGTGATGATTCCCGATGACGAGGTGATGGCGTGAGTGGGGCGGAGCGTGGGAGGGAGCTTCCTGCGCGGAGGGTGTCCAAAGAAAACAAGACCCCCATTTTGGATACCGGGAAAAATTATGACGTCGGGGGTCAGGGGCAGGAGCTCGACCACGAGAAATTTTCCACAAGAAACCCAGCCCTGAGACCCCAGGACGTCCATGGATTTGTGGTGGGGGAGCGTCACGTTTTCCATGATTAGCAAAACCATCGAAACCCAAGAAACCCAGGGCAACCTGGAGACAAACAGTGGTGTTTCTTGGCATGAACGCCCATTGTAAATGGAGGGGGCGACCCTTCGTGCCCCTGTTGGGCCCCACCGGGGCCCTTTTAGGGCCTCTTGGTTGCACCTTCGGTCGCTCCCTTCCAATTATTCATTTATCTCGCACCCCCTCTAATTCACGCCCCAGCGGGGGAGGGGGCAAGGCAAAGGATGGAGTTGCAGTCGGCTTGGAGTCTGAGGTGAGCCAGCACTGGCTTCGAGCAGGCAGGGCGGGCGAGGTGCGAGGTCCTCCTCCTCCTCCTCCTCCTCCTTCCTCCTCCTCCTCCTCCTCATTCCTCCTCCTCCTCCTTCCTCATCCTCCTTCCTCCTCCGCCTTCCTCCTCCTCCTTCCTCCTCCTCCTTCCTCCCTGGGTTCGACAAGATGGTTGTTGCCGTGTTCTGTCCCCCAGGGTCGCTCTCGGGCCCCAGGACGGTCAAAAACGGATCCAGCGTGCAACATTGCACAAGATGGAACCCAGGAGCGTCCTTGCGACCGGCGCTTCGTCGAGGCCCAACCAGCTCAGGCCCTTCCAGCCGAGGCTCCACCAGCTCGGGCGCCTCCCATTTCGAGGGTTCGAGGTTCGGGTTTCTGGCGGCGTCTTAGATTGCAGGACTTCTGCGTCTTCTGGTTCCTCAGAAGGTTCCCAGAGGAGGTCTCGGCACGTCCCGCTTGCCGCGCGGAAAACGTGTCTCCCGTTGGCTTTCTCGCCCGAGATAGGGCCCGTCCTGACGGATCGACAGGAAAGATCTGGGGTTCGTTTTTTCTTCCTGGCCCTTCGGCCTCCCCTCTGTTTGTCCTCTCTTCCTGCTCTTCCTGTCCTCCTGTCGTTGGGGCTTCTATGTTCTAGGCATCCTAGATGAGGTCGGGATAGATGGCGTCGGAGGATCGCGCCGCATCGCTGATGCATCCGCGATGCGGTTCGATGTGGAGGGCGAGTTTCTCCACGCCAGCGTCGCCGATGCATCGCCGACGTCGCGGATACATCGTCGATTCATCGCCGATACGGCGCAATCCTCCAACCCCATCTACTCGCACCCCATCCAGCAGGCCTCTAGACAAGATAAAAGGTGGATGGCTCGAGGT